CAAGGTGAAAGGGCACTGAGGGTGTAACAGACATCATAAGGGAAAAGGAGAGGTTGTTTTTTTCCAGTGACTTTGCTGTGACAGATACCCAGATGCAGAAGAATGAGGCTGTTTTCTTTTTGTCTTTCTTTCTTTCTTTCTTTCTTTCTTTCTTTCTTTCTTTCTTTCTTTCTTTCTTTCTTTCTGTTTTTCGAGACAGGGTTTCTCAGTAGTTTTGGAGCCTGTCCTGGAACTAGCTCTTGTAGACCAGGCTGGCCTAGAACTGAGGCTGGTTTCTATTTCAGGTCAGACATAAACATTAATTCTATAGGCAGATAAAAAGACCTTGCTGTAAGAGCTGAAATTACAAAATGTTTAGAACAAAAAAATAGGGGTAAATTTTTATGATCTTGAGTCAACAGTATATTCTTAAACATCACATCAAAGTATGAGCTGCAAGAAGCAACAGATAAATTGAATTTCATCAAAGAAAAAAGTTCTGTGCCAAAAACAATTCAACTAACAAAGCAAAAACAAAACCACAGAATGGAAGAATACATTTGCAAAACATACATATCTGATAAGAAATTTAAATTCAGGGGCTAGAGAGATGGCTCAAAGGTTAAGAGCACTAGCTGCTCTTCCAGAGGTCCTGAATTCAATTCCCAGTAACCACATGGTGGCTCACAACCATCTGTAATGAGACCTGGCACTGTATCCTGGAAAGTGTACATATAATAAATGAATAATTTTTTAAAAAAAGAAAGAAATTTAAATTCAGAACATAAAAAGAATTCATAATTCATAATAAAAAGATAATCAAAGTATGGGCAATAAAGTTGTATGGTGATGGCACACGCCTTTAATCCCAGCACTCAGGAGGCAGAGGCAGGTAGGTGGATTTCTGAGACTGAGAACCAGCCTGGTCCACAGAGACAGTCCAAGACAGTCGGGGCTATCCAGAGAAACCCTGCCTTGAAAAACAAAACAAAAAAAGCAAGCATATTTCCTAGCTGGGTGTGGTGGTGCACGCCTTTAATCACAGCATTTGGGGGACAGAAGCAGGCGAATCTCCGTGAGTTCCAAGCCAGCCTGATCTAGAAAGCAGGTTCCAGGACAGCCAGGGCTGTTACACAGAGAAACCCTGTCTAGAAAAACCAAAAAGAAAAAAAGAAAAAAGTATGGGCAATAAAGATTGAATTTAGTTCAACAGCAAAGTGCATGTAGCATGTGCCAGGCCAACAGTCCTCACTCTAGCGCCAAGCTGAGTGTGGTGGAACAGGCCTGTGCCCCCAGCACTCCTCAGGCAGGAGAACTGCACATTCCAGGGCATCCTGAGCTATGGAGTGAAAATGTTTCAAAAAACAAAACAAAACAAAACCCCACAATAAACAAGCATCTGAAAGACCCAAACCCAACAATGAGATAGGTAGTTAGGAGATAGCATTATTTCCATAAGGCTGAAGTGACTGAGAGGCTCAAGTTAACCCCACTTTCTGGTAGGGCTCCCTAAAGAACTGCATTTCAGCTGGCGGTACACACGTTTAATCCCAGCACTTCAGAGGCAGAGGCAGGCTGATCTCTGAATTCGAGCTAGTCTGGCCTACAAAGTGAATTCCAGGATAGCCAGGGCTACATGGAGAAACCAAAAAAGAAAACAAAACCAAACCAGTAAGAACAATAAGAAAAAGAATTGCATTTCAGTCTACTTCCAGCTAAAATCCCAACAGAACACCTTTTCATAGGGTACATTTAGGCTGGGATTGGGGCAGGTGGATTAATGACAGATCTACAGACTGGAGAGATGGAAGATTTCAGATTAATAAGGCAAGACTCCAGCCAGGATTGCTGGATGTTGGTGGGGGAAATAT